GTTACCCCTAGTTAATTGGTTAATGTCTCATGAGAGTCAAGAAAATAACTCATGAACTAGTTAAATGGTCGCTGATTTTTCTTAAGTTGTTGTTATTTCACTTCTTACATTTTACTAATCTGTACTTATTTACCTACCCTGTTACAGGCATATAAGTATCCACCCTCAAATGGCACTGTTTGTTAAACATTAAAGCAAATTTGTGAAGCAACCAGCTCTCTCGCCGTGTCCTATCGTGGTGCCTGCAAGCTATTTGGCGTGTTTCTTTTGCTACCACTCCACTGACCCACCACCAGAACTGTGTTAAATCTGTGACCGCGTTGTGGGCACATGCGTCACTAATGTCCATCATATCAGATCGATCTGCATCCACAAACATTATTTAAAAACCCTCTGTGTTCCAAATTGAAACAAAAATATCTTTTGTTATGAGTACATTTAAACTGCAATTATTTTAGTCCTCATTGGATTTTAAAATGTTTGCTCAGCTATTTTCACTTTTACAATAGTAATGCCTTTTTCCGAAGATATAAAGAATTTGCAGAGACAAATAAACGTGGTCAGCCTTCAAATTCTGTCAATACTACAAACTAAACTCCGCTTCCAAAATATTATCATGCATTTCAGGCTGTACTGCTTATATAACGTGGTCCAATGAGCTTGGAAAAATGTTTCTGGTTGGATGCATTATGCTTTGAAAATTTTGAATACATATTCTTTTGACTCTTTTGTGGATTCGAAGTGGATACAAGCAGCAATTCAAATTGTGCATTCTGCTGAAATCTGATCTCGATTCACTATCTGCTTATGCATCCACAAGTAGATCAACTCACCCGCAGGTTTAGAATAACGGGTCCAAACATCTACCCGGAATGCACACCAGACCATTCTGTAAATAAATTAATTACTTTAGACTAAAACAGACGTCGAAGAAAATAAAAAGATTTGTTTGCTAATTAAAGCTGATTCATCCATTGCTCGGAATTAACAATTACCATGGGGTTAATAAGATTAACAGAAATACAAATTTACTTAAACGAAGAGACAAGAATTCGGTGATAACGGGCAAAAGAAAATCACCTTTTGTTCCTCATTACATCGGCAAATTGTCTACGCAGACATGCAGATTCGCATTTGGATTTGCCTCAAGTGAACAAAAGCAAAACGTTCATTTGGTATATCTTCTTGCCATGAGATCCTATATGATGCACTAAATCAAACTATATTATCGATGATAGTGGCACACATGTGGCTCCCTTTGTTAGGTGTGCCACATAAGCACACTTGACTAGAGACACCAACTTAACTGACCTCTTCAAGTCAATTCAATGAGCCTTGTGAGAAATCAAGTGTGCGTGGGTTTTAGCAGTGTTAGATATCAAATGAATTGGGCTCAGCTAAAAAGGTTGCTTTTATTTGTACTGTCGTGAATTTTACTTACATTCAATGGACTGCATACACGTTTGTCAACCAAAAAATCGTAATAAATTGTATAGATCTATTCAAAATTATTCAACACTTATCTGATGGTTCACGGTGCGAAATGTTGGACGTTGATTTACACAAGGCACTGAATCGCAAACACTGCAGACATCGAAATTTAAGTATTGAGCAGCATAATTGAATCCGAGTTGTTCTAGTCAAATGGCGGTCTTTTGCTACTTCACCACTATCAGTATATCGGTGAATTACGCAAAACACTTCTTTGTTGACTTGACACAGTCGTTTTTCTTGAAATCAATAAGGGCATTAATGGAACCAATTGAGTTGGAAAGGGAACTTAAGTAAGCAATTTAACAGTTAAGAAATCGGATATATGAATACTTATTGTGGCGATTAAAACTTTACAGTTGTTTAATTTAAAGGGTTTTGTTACAATAGGCCATGACAATTGTTTCCATTTCATTTGTGTTGGTTGTTTTGTGAATTTTTGAATCCCCTGAGGTTCTGTTTTTTTGTGTAAATCATCTTTTCACGTCCAAAATCAGTCGTACTTGTCCACACAATTTGATAGCACATGTGGAGTGTTGTATTGGTTAGGATTAATCAGTCCATATGAAATGATAAGCTTAACTTATGATTGGCAAGTTTTATTATGTCCGGTATTTGTACACAGTTCATTAAGTCTCATAAGTTTTAGAAACATATCCACAAACCACGAAATTTGTTCACCTGTTCAACACTTTGCACATTTTTTTCAACATTTATATTTTTTTTAGTTCTCGTTTTTGTTGCTTTGGTGGATTATTGCAGTTGGGTTCATAACCTCTTTTCTCACCAGTTTTTGTGTCATTTTTCCTGCGGTTTATATCATTTTGTTGGACCTATTATTTTAATGCAAATCAATGCTTTGACTATCTGTTAGTTAATGAAATTATCGGGCAAGATGCATTGCAATGCATTTTGTTTCAAGTTTGTCTTGGTCTGGTTAGTTTTTCTCCTAAATTAAATCCCAAAAAATAAATACAGATGCACAACATTCAAAAACCCATAATATCTAAAATGGCGTAACAAAAAAAGCAGCTTAATTAAAACTGAATCAGATATAGAAACGGCAGAGGGATTGTATTACATTAAAGAGGAGCGCATGACAATCAACTATTTCTCAGGTATGCCCTTGGTTTATTTAAATATTTTCGTTTCATGATATTGAAAATGATAGAGTGATATTACAATTTCTCACGGTGAAGTTTTTCACTTGAATTTGATGCAGAAATTAATTTTCGAAATTTTTTTCTAAATCTAATTGAATATGTCTTAACTCAGACCTTCGCAAATCAACACTGGCTTTGTTGATTCATTCGTTCTCACTTTCATATTACAAGTGAAGCAGAATGTTGATCTTTAACTTGGTTCGACATTTGATGTTAGGTGTGTATGAGTGTGGGTTTGTGTTCTAGTTTACACTTTGTCCATTCTACAGCCAATGCGTTTACGT